CTTCCCCCAACATATATGCGCCTCCTCCCAGGGTGAAGGGTCTGATTTGGAAGTGGGCCAGAGGCTGCTCAGAGAGACCAGTGACTGGGAGAGTCAGAGGTTGAGGGGACTCAGCCCACCCCTTCTCTGGCTTTGCTGGGGAACCTTAACCAAAGCCCTTCACTCTCTGGGTCTGCCTTTTCCTCCCAGAGCTGGGGCCCAGCCACCTTGGATGAAACAGGGCTACATAAATCCATGAGCATTTCTTGTGCAAGGGCTGCTGTGGTGGTGATTAGATCCTGGAACTTCTGTGAAGAGCCCCTCTGCCTCTATTTCCCTGCGGAGACATTTTGGCATATATCCCAGGCTGGGGGCCAACATCTAGCTGGGGAACCATCCGGACAGCCCTTCAGCCAGCACGTGGCTGCCAGCTGGAAGCCCAATCACTCCTCAGTCTGCCAGCCCACCCTGGGGGTCTCTGCTCAGCCAGGCCCCCAGCTGGGGCTGCAGGGAAGCCTGTGTCTACTGGGGCAGGGTATAGGGGACAACCCACTCCATGCAGTAAGAACACATGGCAGGGGCTTAAAGACCAAACTCTGTTGACTTGTGAGGCCTTGCTCAGGTCCTCTCTCGCTATGGACCTCAGTTTCCCTAACTAGAAAGGGGGTAATAATCTCCTCTAAAGGTCCTCTGCTTGCTGCCTGCAGGTAGGAAACAGACCCCCAACAGCTCCAAAGTCTCATACCAGTGGGCCCAAACATATGCGTTGTTTGCCATCTAGTGGGCAAATGGGAAACTGCTCGAGGCCCAAAAGCAGCTCATTGATTCTGCTGAGCAGATTCTGCTGGGCAGCAGGACCTGACCACCAGTAAAACACAGCTTCTTGGGGAGGCAGGCAGTAAGCATGTAAGCACAGAACAAAGAGGCAGGGGCAGTGGGAGATGCTCCAGTAATTGCTTCTGATGTGAGAAATCAAGGGAGGCTTTAGGGAGGAAGCACTATCCTTGGCTCAGAAGTGGAGAGGACCAAACCCAGCAAAAATAAATAAAAACCAGGTGATGTTTATAGGAAGCAGTGTACCATGGGCTGGTGGGAGCTCAGGAGCCCTTGGTCACACATGTATGATGTACATATTTATGCAGCTGGTGGTGAAGGGTTGCAGCCCAGCCATTCCCTGGTAGAATTTCTGGTGAGCCTGCCTGGAAGAAATGGATGCTGCCAGACCCTTCCCTCATTGGTGGAAAAAGAGATTAAGACAACCTCCATGAGATACCCTCCCTCCCAATGGGTGAGTCCCCTATTTGGCCTTCCACACAACTCCAGCCCCCTCCCCAATCTCCCAGTGTCCTTTGGAACTGGGGAATGTCATCTCCTTCCCTCTCCCAGGACCTGTCTCCCTCTGTGACAGCTGATGAAGAGAGAGCCAGGAAGTGGTGAGGGACCCTCCTTCCTGCTCCTGGCCCTTCCTGACAGTTCTGCAGTTGGCCTACCCATCCTCCTCTTTCCACCACAGGGGTCTTGACTCTTTCCCTCCCCAATCCTATCAGCATCCCATATCCCCTGGCCACCCCAGCCTCTTGAGTCCTTGTTCTACTCACTGCTGATTACCTTCTCTTCCTCTACCTCAGTCATTCACCCTTCAAGTGGCCACCAAGAAGGACACAACCAGCCAGGCATGGTGGAGCAAGCCTGTAATCTCAGCAGCTTGGGAAGCTGAGGCAGGAAAATTGCAAATTCAAAGCCAGTCTCAGCAATTTAGCAAGGCCCTAAGCAACTTAGCAAGACCCTGTCTCTAAATAAAATATTAAAATTGCTGGGGATGTGGCTCAGTGGTTAAGTGCCCCTGGGTTCAATCTCCAATACCAAAAAAAAAAAAAAAAAAAAGGACATAGCCTTCCACATGTCCCTTGGATCATCTCTTCCTCTTGACACCATGGTCTATACCTTAGTATACCCACTGCTATGGTCCTTCACTAAAGGAGACTGGTTGCCCACATTGCCTCAAGCCCCTGTCTCCTTGCTCAGCACAGAACTGACCCTGACAAACACCACCCAGAGTCCCTGCACTGCTGGCTTGTGGCATCTTTGTGCTGTAGCTGCATCACCCCTTTCCTGACTTTGCTGGGTTGTTCCTATCAGCATAGGAGCCATTCCCCAGCCTACCCCTTCCTTAAACATGCTTCCCTGGATCCCACATTTACCCTCAGCCCAGCCCATTCATGTTTCCTGGGAGTTGTCCACACTGCCATCTTTCCCCTTTGTCCTCCCCAGCTGGGCTTTCGGCCTACTGCATGTGGCCCAAGTCTGGAGCCTCCAACTTCCCACCAGCCAGAGTCATCAGCTGAAGCCCATGCCTTCTTCCATCCCTCCTGGTTCTTGAGCCTCTCATTCACTAARGGTCTCTCTCACCCTACTGGCTATGTGTCCTCCCCATCTGCCTCTGGGGTGCCAGGCACCCAGTCCTCTGCCATCTCTTTCTATGAACTCTCCCTGGGGTCCTCATTCATGACCAACTCTAGGAAAGGGCTTGCTACTTGGATGACACCTGTATTCACAGCTCCTGCTCTACTCCCCCTCAACTCCCACCTGGCACTGGCCTTCCCATCAGTTCGTTTTCAAAGCATCTCAACTTTGGACAAACTCTCCCCCTTTCCTGTGACGAACCCACTAGAAATACCTCACCTGAACCTAACCCTGAGGAAACAGCAGATAAACCAAAAATGAGTAACATTCCACAAAATAACTGGCCTGGATCTTTCAAAAGTGTCAAGGTCTTAAGGGTGAGGAGGCAGAAAAGGCCGCAGGTTGGTGGAGAGTAAAGAGACAGATGGCTGGGTAACACATCAATGTGATCTCTAATGGTTGGTCCAGGAAAAGGACTTTGGTAAGGCAACTGACAAAATTTCAGTAAGATCCATAGGTGAATTAGTAGTGTTGTGTCCATGATAATTCCTGGGTTTGATCATTATCCTGTGGTTATTGAAAATGTTAAAGTTCAGGGAATCTGGCTGAAGTGTAAATGGGAGTTTTGTGTGCTACTTTTGAATCAGTCTGGAATTTCAAAATGAAGTATATTTTAAAAAGCCTAACATAAATCTGGGCACAGTGGAGCCTGCCTGTAATCCCACCCAGCAGCTTGGGAGATTGAGGCAGAAGAATCACGAGTTCAAAGCCAGCCTCAGTAACTTAGTGAGGCCCTAAGCAACTCAGTGAAACCCTGTCTCTAAATAAAATATAAAAAGTTTAAAAAGGGGCTGGAGATGTGGCTCAGTGGTTGAGCATCCCTGGGTTCAATCCCCAGTATTTAAAAAAAAAAAAAAAAAAAACTAACACAAAGTAACCTCCATTTCCCGATATCCCTGAGCTGAACCTGTTCCCCCTTCTAGACACCCATGTCAGGAAATGGCAATTAGACCCAAAATCTAAGGGTCACTTTTGACTCTCTAGTTTCTCACTTCTCACTTTCATTCCTTCAGTAAGTTCTGTCCATTCTAGTTCCAAAATGTGTCCTGAATCCACAAACCAACCTCCAATCTTCCATCCCAGCGTCCCACTGTACCAAGAGCCACCAGGCCTTTTCACCCAGCACTGCCCCAGCCTCAGGTTGGCCTCCTGGTTCCTTCTGCAGCCCGAAGAGCACCTCACCCCTCACATGGTCTGAGTTTCTCAGAAGACCTGGCACTGTCCACCTCTCCCAGAGGCTTCTGGGACTTGGCTTCCAGCTCAACATGCGTTTCTGTTTCTGAGACTCTGAGTCTTTCCACATGTTCTCCCATGGCTGGTTCTTCAGGCCTTGCTCAGTGTCATCTGCTCTAGGAAGCCTGCCTGATGGCTCAATGTCACAGCCCACTGTGCCAGTCCAGCCTTGGTCTGGTTTCCTCGTTGCACTTGTCTCCTTTTGTTATCCGAGTTGACTAGAAATTCCGTGAGATAGGGGACTATGCCTTGCTCTGATGTGTCCCAGCATCCAGACTCGTGGCACGCACAATGGTGTGTGAAAAAACCATTAGATGATACACTGGCTGGCTGGTCCATCCACTGTGTCATCCCTCTCAACAATAGGCCTAAGGAGACCTCTCTTCATTCTTCCCAGGTCTCTCCAAGGACCAGCGGCTCCTGCCAGCTCTAGCCTCTCAGAGGCATCTCTAGAATTCCAAGACTGCCTCTGGAATGCCCAGCTTGTCTGGAAAACGCCTAGACTGGGGCACAGGTGCAGAGGCCACGGGGTAGCTGGGTGGAGCAAGGACAGCTGCTAGCATTCTGGCTGAAGCCTGGGTGCCGATGGCAGCTGTCCCTCCTGTAAGCACCACTGTGGACACCTCTACTTCCCTGCAACCCCCAACTCCCCTCCCTAAGGCCAGCGTCACTGTTCTGGCTGCAGCTCTGGCCTGGGTTCCTCCACTAAGCTGACAGCCACCAGGCTTCAGGCCTCCATTTCCTGTCAGAGAGGGAGACGGGAGCCTCTAAGGTTCATCAAAACTGGAATTAGGCCCAGTTGGACCTGGCTAATCTGACAGAGGCCTGTTCTAGAAGTCATGTGGCTGGGTTCTCCTGCAGACTCACTAGATGACCTTGGCTCTCTGAGCCCTAGGGTCCTCACCTGTAAAATGGGTGAGAAGATAGAAAGCAGATAATAGGTCCCTGAAGGCTGAGAGGTCACTGGGGTTGCTGTACCAAGGGACATCTAGGGCCTAATGCAGCTAACTGCTCTCTCCACATGGAGGACTTGTAGGCTGCTGAACTGGCTGATCAGGCAACACTCCATGAGCTTGTTAAAATTCAGACTCCAGGCTTGCCACAGCCTGCAGAGGCTGGATTGCTGCCCATGGGACCTGTGCACTAGCAACTACAGAAAGCAGTCAGTAAGACACAGAGCCTGGGTGGCTCTGATCTGCAGAAGGCAGATGGCACAGCAGTCAGAGCACAGGTTCTGCATCCACCCCGAATGCCTTGTGAGATAGGAAGGGACCCTGGGAAGAGTCCACAGCTCCAGTGAACATCAGAGCCAGACACCAGGCCCCCAGGGAGCAAGGCTTTATTTGCATTCCCCAGGACAGGGTGGAGGAGGGAGTCAGAGAGGGCCAGGGGTCAAGGACACACCCAGGTTCAGGGACTGGGGTCCCTATCCCCTGCCTCCACCCCAGGCCCCAGCTGTGGTGGAAAGGTGGGCATGGGCAGCTCCAGGTGAAGGTCAATGTCTACTCCACACCCTTCATGAACTCCAAGAATTCTGTGGAGAGAGAGGAAGGTGTGGGTTACAGGTAGGGGCCTGACAGGGCATGGACAGCAGGAGGATCTGGCCTACCCATTCAGCCACTCACCATCATAGTCTATGCGACCATCATTGTTCTTGTCGCCATCCTTCATGAGCTCCTCGATATCGTCCTCCGTGATAGTCTCACCTGTAGCCTGCAGCATCATCTTCAATTCCTCCAGGTCAATGTAGCCATCAGCATTTCTGAAGGGAGGATGAGGGGGACCTCAGAGCCCAGGGCAAGGCTAGACAGAGCAGTGAGCCAGTCCCACCCCCAAACCCAGGAGGCAGGGCAAGGGGAACTAGCATATGGGGCATCCCTGTGCCCTATCACACAGAACGGGAGATGGAAGCCACTGAGTTCCCAGGCTTGGAATCTGAGACTGTCCCTCTTTCCCAGCTCTGTTTGGGTCAGGGCGAGAAGTCAAGTGCCAGCGCTCACTTGTCAAACATGCGGAAGAGGTCAGAAAGCTCCTCCTCAGACTTCCCTTTGCTGTCGTCCTTCATGCATCGAACCATCATGACCAAAAACTCATCGAAGTCCACTGTGCCGCTGCCTGGAGGTTGGCAGTGTGGCTGTCAGAGAGGCCTCAGTCGGCCTGCCCTCCACACAAACCCAGGCTTCCCTCCAACTCTGTGAGGCTCTAGTGGTTATTATGCCCACTTTATTGATGAGATGACTGAGGCGCAGAGAGGCAAAACAGCTCTTGTATTTAACTCTCAAGTGAACCAGAGAATTATGGGTCTGGAGGGCACAGGGGCTTACCATCCTCATCCACTTCATCAATCATCTCCTGCAGCTCCTCAGGTGTGGGGTTCTGGCCCAGCATCCTCATCACCTTGCCCAGTTCCTTGGTGCTGATACAGCCATCCTCAGCACCCAGCACAAAGATGTCAAAGGCAGCCTTGAACTCTGCATCCAATGGCAGGGGTTGGGGAAATAGAGCAATCAGGGCTCAATAGCCAGGACCCCAGAAAGCCAGATCCCTGGGGCCACCTGCCAACCTGCCCATCTCCTTTCTGAGACTTTTCTGAGGTCACAGTAAAAAGGACCCCCAGCTTTTCATCTCCAATCTAGGGTTTTCTCCTGATTCCCCCAGCCTGGCCTCGCTGTACCCCAATATGCAACACAGGGGTCACTTACCATTTTTCTGCTCTTCTGTCAGCTGCTCTACCTATAGAGGGAAAGGAGTCTCAGGACTCAGACTCAGTCCTTAGCTGCTGCCAAGGAAACCAACCCATTCCATAGGCAGGAAGACTGAAGCCAGAGGCGGCCACAGTCCTCCCTTCCTGCCCCCAAAGTCCTAAGGTGACCCAGCTGGCCTCAAAGGGGCTAGGCTCAGGGCCAGGGTGACAGGTGGACACCCCTTCCAGGACCAAGGTGACCCCTGAGTAACAATACCCAATGACCACTCCCCTGCCCTTTCAGCCACCCTAATGAAATCCAAGCTGCATGGCCTGAGGGACAGCTGTCCCTCAGGTTGAGACAATAAAACCAATGTGGGGTTGAGCAAAGCCACCCACTGTAACCTGACCAGGGTGGCCACTGGGCTATTTTTACCAGGGGACAAAGTTAAACCTGGTGATTGTTCTGGGACTTTGGCATGCAGGGGGTGGGGCAGCGTTATCTGGCCCCCTGGCCTGCTGGTGCTGCCTCGGGAGCCAAAATTAGTCCCCAGCCTGCCAAGCCTTGTATGGGCACTGAGTGGAGGGCTGCTCCCTTCCCCAGCTCCATGGACTCCCAAGTATACGCAGGGGCACCCCTGGAGCCAGCTGTAACCCCTTCCTTGTCTAGAAGTCAGACCATATTTTCGGGGGTGAGGGGGATCTCCTGGAAATAGCTATCTCTTGAATGTCCTTGTCTCTGGGGAAGGGGGAGGCTACCACCCACCCAGCATTTGAAGCCCCTTAGTGAACCCTAGAAGGCTGCAGGGACTTGGGGTGTCCACTCACCAGCCCTTTCTCTCTCACCCAGTAAAGCCACTGAGCCCTTGGCCTTCCAGACCCTAAGACAGCTATGGACTTAGTTCTCTCTTCCTTCTTCCCTCGCCTTCCCCAGGCCCAATCCTTCCCTATCTGGAACTTCAAAACCTCTTCTCCAGCCCAGGATTCAGATTACACAGCACCTCCTCACAATCCCCCTCCCACCCTCCAAAGCATCTTTAGTCAGCTAAGGGGCTGGAGGTGGGTGGCAGATTGTGAATGACTGAGAAGCAGAGTGTGAGGGGTAAAAATGGGGAGTGGGGACAGGGTGGCAGCAACAGGAACTCAGAGAAACGGCTCAAGAAAAACAAAGAAATGAAAAGAGACTGAGAAAGATGAAAAAAGATTCAGAGAACAGAGACAAATGTAGAGATGTGGCTGAAACAGAGTGACACAGACACTTGGAATCAGAGCAGGAGACTGGATGCTAAAAGATGAGACCTCCTCATCTGCCCACCCTGACATCTCCTCTCCAGACCCTGAACCTCTCACCTCCTTCGCACACGGGAACACCAGCCTCCCCATTCCCTTGAGAGCCTAGGCTAAAGATCTGTGAGCTCTCTCAGGACCCCATCACTTCCCTGGGAAGACCCTGCTCTCCAGTCTAAGCTAAATGAGCTCCCAGTGGGCCTCAGCCCTGCCCAAACCCGTCTCTCACCGCAGCCTTGTAGATGTCATCCATGCCGGCAACTCACAGGACAGGCTCCTGGGTTCCCAGCCAGCCCTCCAACCTCAGCTTAAATAGCCCTGCCCCGTTGCATTCCCAGCCCAGCCCACCACTGAGTATCCTCCACCCCCTCCCCTGGTCCTGGTGATCTCAGGCTGGCTTGAGTCCCTGTATCCTCTGCCCAGGGAAGGGAGGGATAAAGGGCTACAAGGACCAAGAAGGGGGTACAAGGACCAAATTTCTTGCTCTCTGTCCACCATACCCCACAGAAGGCTCTCAGGAAATGTTTCTTGAATGAATGAAAACCTGAGCCCAGACTCAGGCAAGAACTGCCAGAGTAGTGGGCCCCAGGCCAGGCCCTTAAGCACAGAATCGCAACTTTCTATCCATCAGGGAGGTGGATGCTATCACCCTCACTTTCCAGATAAGGAAACAGGCTCCTGGAGCAGTGGCGATTTACCCAAGATCTGGTTGACTTGGCACCCTGCCCCCTTATGCTATACCTCTGGTGGAACGGTGGGAGGGGGGTCAACGTGCAAAGAGTTGCAGTGACTATAAGGCCTTACCAAGAGAAGCTTTTCAAATGCCAAGTTCAGCGCATGGTGATACGGATCTAATGACAAAGAAGCTGACGACCCACCTTAGTACAGGGTGGTCTGGGGCCCTTTAATCAGAGGTGCCCTGCTCCAGACATTTCATCTCCTGGAGGATAGCAGTGCTCGCTTTGGGCTTGAATCAGCTACATTCAGTCACTCAACAAATACCCCTACAGAGCCCATCTACGCCCAGTTGTCTCCCTCCTCATCCTCCAGTTGGGTTACCACCTCCTTCTTCAAGGTCTTCCCCTGGAGGGCTGCTTCTTGACTGGAGCACTATAGTTCCTGGGCCCAGGGCCATCATCTGTGGGACACATGCCCAATGGCGAGCACACACCCCTTCACTCCACCTACACCCCTGCTTCATACAGATCCCACCTTGATACGAGCTTCCTGCTTGTGAGCACTGCATGAATTAACCCACTCAATTCTCCGCAAGCTGTATGTGACGGAGGAGATCTCCGAGTGTCAGAGGTTAAGAACTGGCGCAGTCACTTTGGCCCTCCACGGGGGCCCTCAGCACAGCTCCTTCAACACTCTCCTTCCCCACGGGGAATGAACCCAACAGCCAGGCGAGGCGCAATGACTGCCCTCCTCTTCCAGGGGTAAAACTGAGACCAGACGGAGCAGGGACTTGCTTGAGTAGCTCGGGAAGCCTAGGACCTTCTTGAGGACCAAGGAACGACCACCACAGCGGCCTGAGCACAGGGTCTCAAGCTTATTGCCCGCGGAGCGCCTCAGGAAGCGACCACACAAGCGAGCCGGCCCGCGAGAGCTGCGCACGCGCGCCGTTGGCGGTCCTGTCAATTACGTGCGAGAGGCGGGACGAGGGCGCGAGAAAGCGGTGGAGCCAAGATGGCGGCGCGGCGTGCGGCGCGGGCGGGGGGCGGCGGGGGCCGGGGGGCGGTGGGACTCTGACCCCGCCCCCTGCTGCTGCCAGTCTGCGCCGAGCGGCTGCTGTGGTGGCGGAGCCCCGAACATGGCGGCGGCGGCGGCGGCGCGTAGCTTCGGGCCGGAGCGCGAGGCCGAGCCGGCCAAAGAGGCTCGCGTCGTGGGTTCCGAGCTCGTGGACACTTACACGGTGTGGTGGGGACGCGGGTACCTAAAGACGGGATGGCGATGGGAACCTGGAATCCGAGTCCATGGGTTTGGGGAGGGGTCTGCGATTCTGACTACTGGACCTGTGGTTGGGGAGTCGAAGGAAAGCGCTGGGTCCCCGCAAGGCCAGGAGGGTTCTAGGGCGGGCCCGGGGAGGGGGTTTGGAAGGGTACGCGGTCAGAAAACGAGACTTGGGTTGGAGGGGATCTGGGGATAAAGGAGGCCTGGGGAGGAGGGATGTGTAGATGAGGCGGAGCCCATCGAGATCCTCCTGGTCTGGAGGTGTGCTCGCTGCGAGGCCTTGACAGGGGGTCTGGGAGGAAGGGATTGGGGAAGGGGGTCCTGATGGATGGAATCCGGGAAAGGGGTCAAGGCCCAGTGGGAGCGTGGTGAAGGAGAGGGGGCGGGGTCCCGATCTGAGGGCGCCGGTCGGGATCTGCTGGGTGAAGTGAGGGAAAGAGCTGCCCCCCCCCCCCCCCCCCCCCCCTACGGGTCTGGCGGAGACCAGATCCTGGGAGGAGTGGAACCCAGCCAAGGGAAATGGGGGGAGGGGGGAGGATCTCTGAGCTGAAGTGCAAGACCTACAAATCCTTTGGGGCCTTCTGGGCTTTGGGCTGTGGAGGCGAGATGAGGCAGCAAGCCGCCTCCCCACACACTTCTAGGGATGAGGGAGAGGGTACAGAAGGCGGGCGTAGTTTCCGACTGCAGTGGGGCTGAAGACTCTCCCGAATCTGGGTGGAGTTGGATGCCAGGCCTTTGAGCCTGATGGGCTGCCTGGCAAAAATTTGCTCTGGGGTGGGGGCTCTTTGAGCATCTCCCAAACTCCTGTCCTTTGTTCCCTGGATGTTGGGGAGGGGGCCCCTCCCTTGGCCCTCATCCTAACCCCCCACCCTAGGGTCTTCCCTCTGGCTCTTTTTCTTTTCCTGGGAGTAAGGGTGGGAAGCTGCCAGAATGGAATACAGGTTGGGGGTGGATCTGTAGCAACAGGCTGGCCCTGGAGAAATGGCTGCTGCTCAGGGCTAGAGGTTTCAGCAGAGTTGACTCTTTCCTCCTCCTCCTTCCTTTCAGTAAAGAGGGTCTGAAAACTAGTAGGGGTGGGGGATGGGGTTTGAGGGATGAGGTCTCTGAGCTGATGGCTGGCTATCATCCATTGGCTACAATCAGCTGGATCTTCAAAAAGCTCTCCATATTCAGGGCTTTGCCCCTCTGACTGTGAAAGGGGAGGAGGTCTGTAATCCAGTCTTACCCTACCATCATCTGTCCCTGAGTGTGCCCAGTTGGATGTTATTAACACCCATCTTTTGTTAGGGTGTCAAACCCTGCACAAAGCATTTTATATGTATTGCTTTACTTGATCCTTAATCCTAGCAGATTTTAAGATGGAGGAACTGAGGCTCTGAAAGAGCTTTGGCTCCCAATCACTTACATAAGTGATACATAAGGCATAGCCCAGAAATGGCAGAAACAGGTTTTGAATCCAGGTTTTTTTGTTTGTTTGCTTTGTTTTTTGGTATTGGGGATTGAACTCAGGGGCGCTTTACCTCTGAGTTGTTATATCCTTAGTTCTTTTTATTTTTTGAGATAGTGTTTTGCAAAGTAGTTGAAGGTCTTGAACTTGAATCTTTAATTAATTTATTTATTTTATGTGGTGCTAAGGATCGAACCCAGGGCCTTGCACATGCTAGGCGAGTGCTCTACCACTGAGCCACAACCCCAAAGCATCTTGAATCTTCTTGCAAGCCTCCCAAGGCACTGGGATTACAGGCATGAACCACAACCCCAACTTAAACCCAGCCATTTTTCAAATGGCTAAATTGTATTGCCTCCTGTTTGGGCTAATTGTCCACCACTGCTTCCGATAGTAGCTTCATGGTGTCTAAACCCCTGGTGGAGCAATAGAAGTCATAGCTATGATCACATTGAAAGGGTTGGGGGAGGGCGCTGTGGTTGTGGCTCAGTGGTAGAGCACTTGTCTAGAATGTGTGAGGCCCTGGGTTCAATCCTCAGCACCACATAAAAATAAATAAATAAAAAAGAAAGGGTTGGAAAAGGATTTGCTTCCAGGATACAGCCAGGGCCCCTGGAAAAGAGGTACAGCAGAGAAGCTGGTCCTGTTAGACCTGCCCCTACTCTGCCTCCCTTGAAAAAGGTGGCTTTACCTATAGCTCAAGTTGGGTTTTGAATTACCTGGAAACATACATAAAAAAGACCTAAAGAGGTGCCTTGTAGTGGTAGAGTCACCTTTTTCTTTCTGATGATTGAAGCCAGAGGCTTGTCCCATATGCTTCCCAGACCTAATGCTAGGGCTGTGGAGGAGGCCAAGAGGGACTCCTGCTGCTCAACAAAGGTCAGAGCAGAGACTGGTGGGTGAAGACAGTCATTTGGAGAGGGCCTACAGCTATTGCTGTGGGGACAGGGGACTCCTTGTTGTTGGTTTGCTTCCCTTGACACAAGGACAATGATCTTCCCTCTTTAGGTTTATATCATACAGGTCACCGATGGCAACCATGAGTGGACAGTCAAGCACCGCTACAGTGACTTCCATGACCTGCATGAAAAGGTAACCCTTAGGAAGTGGGAGCCTGTGTCTCAGGGCTTGGGGGTTTGGAGGCCAAGTTCCCATTGTGTCACATGTTAGTTTTAGGGCAAAACCAGCTCTTCTAAAAAATCAGTTTATTAATGTAACTGACAAAAGAGCTTGTGAATCCTAGGAGTTTGGCTCCAATATGAGACAATCCATAAGGAGATATTTGAATTTTGATTTTAAAATTGCCAGTCCTAGCTCAGATATGAGATAGTTTCCCGGAGAGGGGACAGGTTTGAACTTTTTCCACCTAATATAGCTATTCCAGAGCCTGTACTTTAATATCAAGCTGTGATTCCATTTCTTGCTTTTAGAGAGAGCTGCTTTTCCCTGGGTCATTTGCAGTGAGAATGTTTTAAAACACATCACTGCCTCAATTGGTTTTCATCTTGGTTTGAAAAAGATGGCAATTTTAGGGGCCCAGAAGTGTTGCTTTTCTGAATATCTGCAAAGTCTCCAGATGGAATTCCTCATCTGGAATTGTATTGATATCTCTAATACTAAATTCCAAGTGCATTAGGTGGGTCACCAACCCTGGTACTGCTGCCAGGAGGGACTGTGGAAGTTAACGACAAGTGCCTGCCCTCTGCTCCTCACCTTAGTCTTTTATAGGCACAGAGCTACTTGGTATGTGGTTGATATGCTTGTCTTTTCTTACAGCTTGTTGCAGAGAGAAAGATTGATAAAAATCTACTTCCTCCCAAAAAGATAATTGGGAAAAATTCCAGAAGCTTGGTGGAAAAAAGGGAGAAGGATCTGGAGGTGTACCTCCAGACTCTGCTGGCTGCCTTCC